GACTCCTCTGCAGCGTACTTCGCCATGCTTGCCTGACGTTCGCCTGGCTTGCGTTATCGACCTTCAACGAGAGTCTGGTCGTGCTGGCCAACACGAGTGGTCTCGCGGTCGAGAAGTCCATCAAGACCGAGTCGCTGCAGACCTACGTCCGATTGCATCCGTTCGCACGGACCATGGAGCACATGTTCAGCAACACCACGATCGTGGCTCTGTTCGACTGTCTGCATCCGGCTGTGGAGGAAATGGAGGCTTTCGACAGTGCATCGCCTGTTGTGCAGATGACCACGAAAGCAATTCAAGTGATGGATATGGTGATGCGGCTTCAGCCAACGTACTTCAGCATCGTGCGGCCAGTCATCAAGATTTCGGCACCTACACGCAGCGACACTGTGGCAAACCCTGCTATCGCCTCATTCGATGAGGTGATGTTGAGTCAGCTGCCAGCAATAGGCTTTGTGTACTTCTTCGTCGCCAGCAAGCATCTCGAGCTGTCATTGAGTGCCATTAGCTTGCTTGGAAAGCTGTCAACATCGAGTAAGCTCACATCTGTTGTTGATCCCATGTCCGGTCAACGAATCGGCAACAGACTTGTCGGAAGTGTTCAGCACTTTGCGGATGCAGTCGCAGAGCATCTACGCGATACATTTGTACTCGATGCAACTGACTTCGAACAAGGCGTCAAGGAAGGCACTGAGCCGCTCAGACTTGCCAAAGCGAGGGCTCTGGTGGACTTCCTGAGTAGAAGTTTGGAAGCGGCGAAAACCGCGCCGACGATTGCACATACAATGCTGGGACTGCTGGACTCGAATGGCCGCATCACCAACGCGCTCTCGACAAGCGACAGTCTCTTCGCGTCTGGTACATCGCTGTTCCATGTTATCGCGAGATGCGCGAACGATCTCCCAACCGGTGCTGACCAGACTAGCCTGTCTTGGCTTACTTCCCTCAAGCGCGGTTGTATGGAGATCATGACCAAGCTCGCAGCCGCATCGCTGACCGCCTCGGTGGTGCAAAATGAGCTACGCAGCCTTGACTTCCTGCCCGCGATCGCCATCTCACTACTCGAGACACGTGCTGGTGGTCTCTGGGACGATCTGCCGTCCATCGATCCAGCGGTATTGTTGAAGTCTGGCGGTAGTGGCATTAAGGAGTTCATGCAGTGTCGTGATGCGTATTTCCAGTACGCCGGACTGGAGCTACAGGCAACTTCAGATGGCAGCATGGATTCGATTCGTGGACGTCAAGTAAATGCTCTGCTAGGAGCTGTCATTGAGCCGAGTGGCGAGGACACTGCAGCGGCGTCACTGCTTCAGCTCATCGACTTCTTCGACATCGAGGTCGCAGCTCCGCCTGATATCTCACTGCGTCACTACGAAGGCGTCGATCTATCACCGTGTATCTCTGAGCCAGCTACTGGCAGCCCGAGCTTTGACTTGGATTTGGCTACTGAGCTTCTGGCTGTGCGCAGGCGGGAACTGCACCTGAATGGCGATATATACCCTGGTACAACCGAAGCTCAGCAAGTAGAGGACGAGGAGGCAGCGCTACTCGCAAGCCTTTTCAGCCAGAACGCATACCGCGAGATTCAGCGAGCACGGCTCGATGCTACCGAGGCATGGACAGATGTCGTCTCTACGATTGTGACTGCCGGCGGACTGAACGAAACCGATTTGACCATGTTTGCACTCCAGGCGTTGCAAGTGGTGCTATCACGATTGGAGCAGACTCTGGGTGACGATATGGATGCAGCCGGGCTCCTGGCAAGGCTCACACTTACATTGATCAGTGCAAGCGTCGCGGCATCCTCGAAGAGCGACCCACAAGCATCGAGCAGCCGGGCGGAGCGCCTACATACCGCATTCCACGTTTGCGTGAAGGCCATCTGCGATAGCGAGACCAGCTTAGTCCTCCGCGACGTATGCTACAGGATCTGCTGCCTCGTGCTGGCTGACACAGTCTCTTTGGCAGCGCCTTCACAACCGCAGAAGTCCAGGCAACCCCCGGCGGCCACTAAGCAACTCCTCTTGCAGGTCCAAACAGCTGGCGAGCGTCTTGTCCGAGTAATCACCGAAGACGCCTTTTCCGGCCGCGGCACAACGCGAATCTCTGCTCTGCTGTTCCTGGATGCCCTCCTCCCGCTGTTCGCCCTGACAGCCACCCTTCCGACTCTGCTGCGGTCTCTCACAAAGCTGAACTTCCTCCCCGTCCTGCTAGACAGCAGCATCACCACCGCCTCTCACTCCTTCCGCAACGCAGACGCAGATCTCCCGACAGCCCTATCTTACTTCCACACCGCACTCTCCCTCATCCTGAACCTTGCCCGCGCCTCGCCAGAAGGCTCCAACTTGCTGCTCACCTCGGGCTTCTTCCAGGCAATCGCCGACTCCAATCTCTTCGCCACTGATCCCGATATCGGCCTGGACATCGACAATCTCGCCGCATTGCGACAATTCTATCGTCTTCTCAGCGCCGTGCTCAGGGTCATCACTGCTGTCGTTGTCAGCAGAGGGCCTATCAATGGGAGTGTACTGCATCAGGCAAAGGCGTTCTTGACGCAGAACCGGACGTGTATGATGGCGGTGTTCAAGAGGGTCAGTAAATTGGATCGAACTGCTGGGCCGCCCGAAGTGGAGGCCAAGGAGGTGGCGGAGGAGTTTGGGAGGCTGGTTGTTATCAGTGGGTGGTTGGAGGTAAGTCTTGCTTAATCTATGAGAGGGTACTATGATGAGACTAATGTGTACGTGCAGGATGATGAGCCAGTAGAAAGGAAGAGGACTAGGCTGGGTGGTTTCACTTGAGTTGGCTAAGATTCGGTTTTCCATCACTGGATCGCATAGCAATGAGTCGTACTCCGGGGCAGATGGCAAGCTGAGATTTTGACGCGCAAATATCCATTGTACGATATACACTCGTGCCGGCCGTTCATGCCCTCCCCGCGGATGGCCATGTCTTTTGTACAATCTCTGCCGTACAAACATACAGCCACATCCATGCCAACGCCATCAAACCCACAATCCCACACCATGCTTCTTACACGAATCAATCCTCTCACCACCTTTCCCCTCAACCCTCTACCCTCAATACCCCTCCCCCTTCCCACCCCACTCCGCCTCCCCTCCAACCTTAGCCACATCCTCCAATTTCGCCCCCATCTTCACAACACTATACCGAATCAACCTCGGATCCAGCCCCAGCGTCCGTCTCACCGCATGTTGTGTCTTCGCACTCGAATCAAATCTCAATATGAAGTAGTGACCGGAGTCGTAGGTAGCGCCTTGTTTGCGGTAGGGTTTGGGGAGGCGGAAGGTGCCCCAGTTTGTTATGCCACGGACAACACCGCCAGCATTCAGCACGAGGAGGGAGGAGGTGCGGACGATTCTGCGGTGGGTGTTAGACGGGTGATGGGAGGAGGGGAGGGGAGGGCGGAAGGACTCTTTGATTTCCGTTAGGGGACGGGAGGGGCGGCACTGGGAGTGGAGATGTCAGTGAGAACCGCGAGGGGTACAGGGGCGGACAGCATACCACGCCGATGAGCTCGTATAGCATGCTTGCATTGAACAGCCTCAATGTATCGCTCGCGACTTCGTTGCAGTCGTGCTTTCCCTCGGGATTCCAAGTCCGAAATAGGTTCGCGGCTCCAAGATCTAAGCTTAAATACCTTATTTTCGTTCGGCTCCACTTCCACGTGCGATTGGGACCTCTTGTGAAGCAACATCTGAAGCTCAACACTCTTTCCTCACTCAGTACAACAACAATGGCGACGATAAAGGCAGTCCGCGCTGCTACTCGCATAGCTGCCAGCCCGTCACCGATAAGATGCAGTCAATCGAGCGTATTGCGGCTACAAGCACGAGACACGCGATCGTTCACAGGGAGCTCGAGAAGTACGGACTGACCCGAATGATATCCGGCCCAACAAAGCTGACTTCAAGATCAGTACTAGCAAAACGCTACACAGAGGATCACGAATGGATCGAGCTCTCCGATGACAAGAAGACTGGTACCCTCATGCCTGCTCTACTACCAGCCATTCTCGCTCCTCCCTAACATCCCCCAGGCACGATCGGCATATCCACCTACGCCGCCAAAGCCCTCGGCGACGTAGTCTATGTCGAGCTTCCCACAACCGATCTCGAAGTGTCTGCCGGCGACGCGATAGGTGCCGTCGAGTCCGTCAAATCCGCCTCAGACATCATGACCCCGATCTCAGGCAAGATCATAGAAGCGAATGCGGTGTTGGAGGACAAGCCGGGGACGATCAACAGAAGTCCGGAGGACGAGGGCTGGATGGCGAAGATTGAAGTGAGTGATGCGACGGAGGTGGATAAGTTGATGGACGGCGAGGGGTATCGGGTCTTTACTGAGGAGGCGGCGGGAGAGGATCATTAGTGTATGGAGATGAGTTGGTGAACGTCTCATGATGGTGTTGAGGTGTCATTGTAAGTGCGCATGCCGTGTTGAGCTCTGCTAACATTCATTCGCTTCGTGGTGTGAGGAATTTCTCACTTCACTTACCCACCGCCTCGGCAGCGGAACTGCAACACAACGGATCGAACTCGCGACCTCTTGCGACCATGGCCGCCATAATATCACAGCCGTCAGCAAAATGGTGTGTCCTGCCTGAAGGCTCAACATATACACAGAAAGCTACTCTGGGACCCTGACAAAGCGACACGGACCCCTATCAGCCTGTCATGAGCAATTAGAAAGACAGATGATACACTCGTTGACCTGGACTCCTCACGCAAGGCCAGCGGCGCGACGAGGGGACATTTCCGCCGCTGTGTCGGAAGTTACCAGGCTGGCGAACGGTTCGCTCACTGCTGTTGGCTAGTTGCCATGATCTTCTCCGCTCGAAGGAGTTACCGCTTCATCTATCCAATTCAAATGCCCTCTTGGCTGATTGCTGGCTGCACGAGGGATCCGACAGGAATTATGAATGGACTGTCCAGTCCATACACTCAAGAAGAAAACTTACAACGGTTTCGCAAAAAGAATCCCGGACAATGTGGGGATCGAACCCACGACCTCACCCTAGTCGAAGCCTCAACGAAGTATCCAGTTCACAGGAAGAGTCCTGGGGATTCTCCGTCTCTAAGCTACCACTGTGCCAACTGCCCATGGATGTAACATGAAAGCTCAAAAGGACTGATATACTAGCCAAAGACGCTTGACTCAGCGCAAAAGATTGAACAGAGGAGGGCTCGAACCTCCGACCTCATCCAAGACATCGTTCGCCCATGACGCCAGCCATCCCTTGCGGGACGACGGGCGCTCTCCCGAAGAACAACGGAGACACAGGCAGTCCCGTGAGCGTCATCTCTGTGGATGCGCTCTCCCGGCTGAGCTATCTGTCCTTCAGTGACTGTCTAGACATTGAAGGCGATTGTGATTGGCAATCAAGCACGCTACGGGTACCGGCGTCCCAGTGGAAATCCGCATATGCGAGACCTACATCTCGCTGTAAACGAGGACTACGGGATCGACCCAACACTCTCGCACGCCTACAGATTAGGCGGCAAGTGTCTGCGAGCAAGCATGACAGTGTTGCAGGCTGTCATTGCGTTATGGTACGCAGAGAAGTGTGGCTCGGTCTCGCTGTGGCACGGAAACCTCCGCAAGCCTGCCAATCCAAAAGCACGGAAGCTATTGAAGCAGTATGAAGACCGCTGTAAGGAAGTAGACCTGTTTCATATGCTGCGTCTTACAAATCGAACCCGCGACCTCTCGGCTATCGAAAGGCAAGTATTCAAATAGTTGCGAATTGTAGCACGCGCATTCCGGAGAATGTTGCAAAATGATGGATCGCCTACGATTCGAACGTAGGTTCTCTCTCTCGACCGCTAGTCAGGCGATACCCAGCCACCCATTGCAGGGCGACGGGCGCTGCCTAGGACGCCTGCAGGGCGATCCTGGACAACGTGGGCTTCCAGCCATGAGCACCGCTTGTCTGGGAGCGCGTTGACCACTACACCAGCGACCCTTGAGTAACTGTCACACCGTTTAATTGGCTTATATCAGTGACAGAGCGGCTTGGGCTTACCTTTGTGAGTTTCAACGCCGTAGCAGCCTGGCCATAAACGGAAGCAGCTGGACTGATCGTGCTTTCTCTGCGATCTGCCGGTCCAACGGCGGATATCCGCGCAGCACCACACCAGGAAGCAAGATGTACACGTCGTCCGACACACTCGCTGGCAAGACATCGACTGCATACTGGCATACAACATCAACAACAGCGCCAGCTTCTCAACGTACGACTACTACGAGATCTCAAACCCAGACTTTCGCCTCTCTCCCAAACCTCAGCAGCGGCTCTGTCGCTGTCAAACTGTCCACGCAATCATGTCTGATATGGAAGCGACACATCTTCTTGCTTTACGTCTACCCGTGTTTCGGTCTCTCCAAGGTGTGCACATGCGCATGCGCACTGTTGCGGTCACAACGATATGAGCTGTAACACATCCAAGATACCTAGGTAGAGAGGAGGGTTTCATTGGACATACATTCTCATGACTGATAATTAGGCACTCGCACTTTCGGCCGCCACCAGAGTCTTCATCATTCCCGAGCTTGTGGAAGAGATCCTCTTCCATGTTCGAATGAAGGATGTGTTGGTTCTCCAGCGCACGAGCAAAGCCTTCGATCGGACTATCAGGGAGAGTCCACGACTGCAGGAAAAGCTCTTCTTCAGGCCGATCAAGCTCGCCGCGCCGCGACAACGCGGCCTCCTTCTTGACATGGCGTCCGACTCCTACGTCAATAACCTTCTGCTATCCTTCCTCGACGCACAATGTGGGAGGTACCGATGCAAGCTGGGCCGCAACGCTGCGAATATTGAGGGTATCACGATGGGCTACGACTTCTTCCTGCACTACAGACGCCCATGAGAGCGCCGTAAGCACTACATGCCGGGTTCTTGGGGAAGATGCTCTTGCTTCAGCCACCGAGACATGAGTATGTTAGGGTCACGAGTACAGTGGTAGAGAGACACAAGAAGAAGGGGAAGATGAGGACCTTGCACGATGGCCAGAATCCGCCGAAGCTGCTTGCATTGAGAGGGCTTCTCAACGATATGAAGCGGGCATCACGCATTCGTACGGGCATCGAGGAGGCAGGGTAGGAGGCACATCCACGGGTAGTATGGCAATTACTGCCTCCCTCTCCGGGAACCTGGGAACAAGGCACTGCGCTTATCTGGATAGTTGCAGGGGTCATGCGCGGTACTATTACAACAGTGGAAAGCCGAGCGAGACTGACACCTCTGCTCCGACCTCACATACCCTGTGGACTCTCATCTGGACCAGTGCTCAGCTCTTAAGATCACAGGCGTGCTTGATAGAAGCACAAGAAGACTGCAAAATTTCGGTGGTGCGGCGATAGCGTGGCTGCTACGGGCGAGACTGAAATTGGTGCAAGTAGAAGGGCGCGAGGTCTTCAAACCAGCATTAAGCAAGCGTAAGTCTAAGTGTGAGTACCACATTTTCATGATCGTTGCAAGCACCGAAATGCTGTGCGAAGAGTGGCATCGATGGAGAGCCATGAAAGGACCTCGATGCATCGAAAAAGATTGGTCCACGATTCGAACTCGCGACCTCACTAAGTGTGTGTGCGAACACCATCCTGCGGTCCCGCTATCATCGCGGATAGCTGCAGGACCTGTCACCAGCACCCATACCTCCGCCGCCCTAGTTTCGCCGCCCGAAGAACGAACAGCAAAAGCATGTCGCCGCCCCCCAGAATCGAACTGGGACTCTCCGCTTCGCACGTCCTTAATGCGAGCCTTGGGATGGGTCGCAGACGTGATGCCCTCCTCCCAACCTGTGGGTATCGTAAGGCACTATACGTGAGCGACGCCTTAATCACTAGGCCAAAGCAGCTTATGATCGAAATGCTACCGATCTGCCTTATGATGTGTATACAGACTGCGGAAGCTAGTGAAGTCTGCACTTACCTCCGACAAGCAAAGAACGATCAAAAAGCCATACCAGACCAGTAATGTGCAAGAATACAGTGGACAGAGCTGGACTCGAACACAGCGACCTCTCCCGAAGAACGTGTACAAGGCCATACGCCAGCTCCATCCTGGAGCTTACAGCCAGCTAGAACAAGAGCCGACGGGTGTTAACTTTGTAGCTACGTCGCCACTCCCTGCGGCGACAGCCAGCCAATGCGCTAGCCGACGGGTTTCACCTCGTACACGAACTTGCGGGAGCGCGATGACCACTTCGCCATCCGCCCTTGTAGGCGGGAAGGTACCTTTGGACTTATAACAAGCTGCAGAGGGGACGGCTCCGTTACAAACGGCGAGGCGCGGTCTGATCGGTCCTTCCTTACCTGCATACATTCGATTCACCTGTTCCGCGCAGCTACTCAAGTCTTAAGCGACACCTCATTACCACATTACCCGGTACTCATCGCGTTTGCAGCGCATCCTGTGCCTCTGTCAGGTCACTCCACCCAAGCAATTACAGCCGATAAGCGAAATAGAGAGCGTATAGCAAAGGTCAGCGATGCGGACAGCTTGCAGGATGCAAAGAGACTGATGACATGACCAGCCGATTGGCCACTATGTCCGCCATTAACACAGTTTTCAGCATTGCGGAGCTGGTCGAAGAGATCCTTGATCAAGCTACGATGAATGATGTCCTTCTTCTCCGGCGCATCAACACATTCTTTATGCGCACGATAAAGGAATCGCCCCGTCTCCAGCAGAAGCTCTTCCTGAAGCCCGTAAAGTACGCCACGACCCGGCACCTGAGGCAGGCAGACCTCGACCCAACTCCAAACACTCTCCTCCTCTCCGCTATGGGTATAAAGTACTCTCCCACGTCTCGCATCCTCGACGCCAAGCCAGGCACGCACGATAACGACAACGAACCCAAGATAGATGAGATCATGACCATCTTCCACAACTTCGACCTCCATGCCAAGCATCCTCGTGAGAGACGCAAGGCCCTGAAGCCGGGGAGTTGGAATAAGATGTTATTGCTGCAGCCGCCGATTCATACGAATCTTGAGGTGAAGTGTTCAGTGGTCGAGCGTCATGGGGAGATTGGATTAAACAGGGATCTGAGGAAAGGCCAGGAGCCGGCGATGTGGTCAGCATTGCAGGATCTCGTGAGTGAGATGGCCAAGCAATCGCGCGAGCTCAGGGGACTAGTCAAGAAGGAGCTTGGGTCTGGATTGGAGGAGGTAGCTGGTGATGGTATCGCGAGTGCCATCACCGCTTTCACGAATGGTTTCATGCTGAGCAGCGCTTGATACAGCTGTGGTCATGAGCCAGCGCTCTTGAAAGCGTGATGAACCAAGGCACTGGTCAGTTTCGAACCAGTATGTGTTGGCAACCGAACGGGGCGCCGCTTTCACAAGCATGCTGGAGGCTACCGGAGGGTCCTGGAGTGGCGAAGAAGCGAAGATCGAGTGAAGCCATCGAGCAGCACGGGAGTGTATGAGTCTTGGGTACAGTCAAGGATCAAACGAAGTGCAGAGTCTGAGTACACTATCCCTAAGTCTGGTTGCCTGTACCTGTTCTCCGTTGCAATAGAGATACTGTCTCCAGCATCGTAAAAGTAATCTCAGCATTACATTCGTGCCCCAGGACAAGTAGTGCACGAGAATTGAACGCTCGACCCCAGTCAATGCAAAATATGCAAGATCTTCTGGCTCCAAAAGACGATCTGGGACACTGTTCGATTCGAACGAATGACCTCACCCTGTCCATGACAGTGAGCAACGGTAGGCAACCCCCATACGGGGATGTCAGGATGCCGCCTGGCGAAGGGCAGCGGGGTATGAGCAGTCTCGTGAAAGGCTGGTCTGCGGCGTGAGCCCGTGATTGTCCACTCACTGTCAGTATGGCGGGTGCGCTCTAGACCGCTGAGCTAAACGTCCTTGATGCTGGAGCCATATCTCAGCTGCTCATGATGTGAGATGCGCGGCTTGCGGCAGCGGCCTTTGTCTCTGCAGCAATCAGCCGGAGAACGAGCACCGCTACAAACGCCATGGAACACTGTTGTGTTGACGGGGACCTCAAGCATTACACAGGCCAGGCTCATGCTCCACAACGGAGCTGGCGCTGCGAGGATGACGATCGTTGGTGGCGAGAGTATCCTCACGCTGC